ATCCCACAAATAGAGGTATCTTTCGTTGTCGACAAGAATGGAATTTTGACTGTGACGGCTGAGGACACAGCCACTGGCAGAAACGAAGAGATCGTCATCCGCTGCAACAAAGGCCGACTGCCGAAGCATGAAGTCGAGCGAATGATCACCGAAGCAAAAGAATTTCAGAAAGAAGACGACAAGAAAGAGAAGCTTAGAGCTGCTCGCCATGAACTTGAGACCCTCTGTGTTGAAGTAAAGGATTTGATTAGCGAGCAGAGAGACGACGATCTTGAGAATTTGGAGTTAGACAATTTCTGGGGCGTCTACACTGATACTGAGGAGTGGCTGGACGAGGCCGAACAGGCAACGGAAGAAGAGTACCGTTCCCGTTATGATGCTCTAGTTGAAGTCAAAGAGCGGATGGTTAGTAACTAGGTTTCTCCGATGTTTCGAGCTTTTGCGGCGCATGCTGGGGGATAGCATTCTCCAACTTCACACTTTATAGTTTATATCCTTTCCGTATGTAAGCACGCTAGAGGATATACATATATAGCCGCCTATGTAATGAAGTGCTTAAACCCATAGGGCCGTATACTCACAGCATCGCTTAAGCATGCTAAGTTAAGCATGTTCATACTGCATCTGGCCTCATGGTTGAATTACATAAGGTTGACCCACGAGGATTTCCGTCTTTCAGTTCAGCTTTCTTGTTACGTCACGTAGATCGAGAAACGTAAACAATCCCGTCATTCTCCTGACGGATTGGTTAACCGGTTTGATCGCATTTCGGTGATTGGTTAATGCCCGTGACGTCACTGAGATCAGTGACGTCACAAACGAAAAACACTACATCCGCAAAAATGAGCTTTTCATTTCAACCTTATTCTAAATAGTTCAACCATGCATGGTCTGGCCTAACCTACTCCGGTCTAACCTAATCGCGTTGCAACGTTCCATCGCCCAAAAGCTGACCTAACCAAACCCCATTGGTTTGGCTCTGATGCTGAGTGGTGACGCTTGGCGTTAACTCCAAGGATTATTTACGATTTAAATTTGTGGCTTACGGCTGCGCCGCCCCCTAGTTTTTTCATACCTCTTATATTTGCGTGGAAAAAATTTCGCAGTCGTGGCATTTTTTGTTATATTTAGTTCGGTACCTTGAGCTCAAACTTAATTATTTTTAAACGGAAACCAGAATGAAAGACTTTTCGTTTCATACGCAGTACGTCGTTAATCAAAATTTATTATACAAGTTTTAATTAGTAAAATATTTAATGATGGCCCGCTAATTATTTCGCAGTCAGTGAGAGGCCCATGTCTTAGACTTAGTTTATGTTCAGCGGACTGGCCACTTGAGACCTCACGGCCATAGTGGTTGAGGAATGATTCTTAATCATTTTATCACACTTCTGTTTAACTTCTCCTTCTTGTGTTTAACTTCTTGTGTTTGTTCGTCTGCTACAAATCTTATAAACGATATCAACACACTTCTGCCTGTCCAATCGATCTGAAATTTTGCACACTTGCGTAAAGTCGGAAATAATGCATGAATCGATTGACAGAAACATCAAATAAGGGGTCAATCAGTGGTAATCAATTAATTCAGTTTGTATGAAAAGATAATTTTGTATGAAATCTCATACTTCACAAGCAGATGCAGAAAATTTTCATCAGATGGTAGCTTATTGAAGCTGTGTTTTGATATTCAATAATAATAATAATAAATTGTGCTATTTAAAGAGTCCAAAGAAGCAAATCTGCTTATTAAACTAGGCTCTGATCCGTATTCCTAGCTTATTCCCGGCAGTTGAAACGTCGGGCAGTTGAGTCAATATATGGTCTAGCGTGCCTATGGCTAAATGGCATTAGGGTGGGTAAACATGATATGTCGTATGAAAATAATAAATTTAAAATAAAACGAGGAATTCATTGCGCAAATGTAACATCGGAGACATCGGCCTCTTTAGAAGTGTAGTCTTTAAAGAGTACCGCATATTTTTTTATCTTCCGCCTAGCAGGTGATGTTTATTTTCGACTTCTGGCTTCAAGACAACCCAACTTAAAAGCTAATCGAAGCAATTAAAATTTAAGAGTTTTCATAACACGCTTGAAATATTTTGTAGAAAGAATAGTACATGTTACTCGTTACTTCCATATTTAACTCACCTACTTTAAATTTCGTCAATTAAAGTGTCTGTTAATCCAGGCTAACACTGCTATTTTAACTAATTTTGATATTTCGACTTAAATTATCTGTAATTTTTAATGAAATGAAAATATATACGATTTATTTAGATGGTTGGTGCTCTTCTCGTGATGAATTTCGAAATTTTTGGCGTTACAATAAGTGTGAATATATTGTTAACAAATGTCAGTGACTTATTATTCTATAATGTAAGTACTCTCACGTTCTGTCACTCTATATATTAGCCTCTAATTTTATTATGAAAGTGAATTTGTAATTCGAGGCACACTGCTTTGCTAAATTTTAACTTCAGATGTCGATTCCATAAAGCTGAATAATTGCAGTTAATTTTTATCCTTCAGATTACGATACTTTAGTGGAGTAAATTAATGAAATGAAGCACAAAAGATCGAGGCCAGTACAAATTTTTGGTGTGAACGAAGAAACTTGAACATTCTCCTGAAATGAACCCGAAGGTCAATAATTACTCGACGATCTCGGCTCTCAATAACAGCCTTGAAAAAAGTGTATGAGTTATGTCCAACAGAATTAAGAGTTTCTTTTGACTTCTGTGAGTTAAAAAAGATGCATCGCTTTCAATTAGACCCACACATTTCTTTGAGCATTTGATCGTGCAGGTCGTTCGCAACTCGTATGGAACCCGTTTCGTCGACGTCTCGTTCAGAGGCATATTATTTTGGTGTTTAGTGATGAAAATCTTTTCTTACAAATGTAATAATAAACTACCACTTTATCTTGCTGCTCATATTTTTTTACAATAATTGCATACTCAAATATCAACTGAGAATGAGTTTATTTATAATGTGGTGGTGTATGGCAACGAGCGCTTGCCACAGCTTCCAAAATGAATATTCTCGCAATCCTATAAATGAACGTTATATTGTGATCATCTTGAAGTCACTTTCATTTTTCTTGCCATAGAAATAAAATATTTCAATTGCCTTCTCTACTCCGGTTTTCAGAAGATCGCGAATAATCTCACACTTTTTTCTGAATACTTTACTTTCAAAACTGTCAAACGTCCTTTTGGAGGGGAATTTCAATGAAATATTTCACTTTCAGAAATGGCGACCGTTCAGACACCGGTACTAGGCATCGACCTCGGCACAACCAACTCGTGTGTTGCTGTTGTTCACAATGGGCATGTTGAGGTCATTGCTAACGACATGGGCAACCGCATCACCCCATCGTGTGTAGCATTCACGCGTGGGGAGCGCCTCATCGGTGATGCTGCTAAAGCACAGGCAATTTTCAACCCTTATAACACCATATTTGATGCCAAACGTCTCATGGGCCGTAAATATGATGATAAAAATGTTCAAAAACGTATAGAACTTTGGCCGTTCAATGTTGTGGAATCTTCTTCTGGAGATCCAAGATTTCGCGTTGAATACAAGAATGAGACGAAAGATTTTTCGCCAGAAGAGATCTCTGCAATGATTTTAGGAAAAATGAAAACCATTGCCGAGACCTACATCGGTTCTCCAGTCACAGACGCCGTAGTTACAGTGCCTGCCTACTTCAACGACTCCCAGCGCCAGGCGACCATGGATGCGGGTAAGATTGCTGGTTTGAACATCGTATCTCTTCTCAACGAGCCCACAGCTGCCGCCATCGCCTACGGCTTCAATCAAAAGAAAGGCATGAGGCAGAACGTCCTGGCGTTCGATTTTGGTGGCGGTACTTTCGACGTAGCTATTCTCAGTTTAGCAGAAAACGACTTTGAAGTCATAGCTACTAGTGGTGACACCTTTCTTGGTGGCAGCGACATCGATGAACGTCTGATCAAGCATTTCATGAAGAAAATCAAGGAAGAACATCGTAAGGATATCTCAAAACATTCAAAGGCCTTGACTAAACTCAGAAATGCATGTGAACGTGCAAAGAGAAATGTTTCATCCGCGACACATTCACCAGTTCTGGTAGAAGGCCTATTCGATGGCATTGATTTCCAGTCGACCCTCAGTCAAGCTCGTTTGAATAAACTATGTTCTGATCTCTTCGACAAAACGATTGACCTCGTCGAAGAAGTCCTAAAATCCTCGAAAATGGTAGTGGGTGACATCGACGAAATAGTTCTAGCTGGAGGTTCCACTCGGATTCCTAAAATTCAAGAGCTCCTACAAAAGAAGTTCAATAACAAGAAGCTAAACAAAAAAATCCACCCCGATGAAGCAGTGGCTTACGGAGCAGCACTGTACGCGGCTTCTACATCAGGTGACAAGACAATTGAAAACATAACGCTCGTAGACGTCACCCCATTGACACTGGGGATAAATATTCTTGGGAATATGACGAAAAGCATTATTCCACGCAATACCAAACTTCCTGCTATAAGAACTGGGAAGTTTGTGACAACAGTTGATGGTCAATCGGGAGTGGATATCAAAGTGTACGAAGGAGAAAGACTCCGTAGCGACGAGAACAACTTGCTGGGTGAGTTCGCTCTTGAAAATATCCAACAAGCTAAGAAAGGTGTCCCACAAATAGAGGTAACTTTCGTTGTCGACAAGAATGGAATTTTGACTGTGACCGCTGAGGACGCAGCCACTGGCAGCAACGAAGAGATCGTCATCCACTGCAACAAAGGCCGACTGCCGAAGAAAGAAGTTGAGCGAATGATCGTCGAAGCAAAAGAACTCGAGAAATGTGACAAAAATATGAAAAAACTCCGTGCTTCTCGACACGAACTTGAGATCCTCTGTATTGAGCTAAAAGACTTAATTAGCGAGCAGAGAAACAACAATCTTCTACAAAAAGAAGATGCCGTCAGCTTCTTGGGTGTCTGCACGGATACTGAGGAGTGGCTGGACGAAAACGAACAAGCTGCAGAGGAAGAATATCGGTCCCGTCGTAGCGCTCTTCTTAAAGTCAAGGAACGCGTGCTGTAGTTACTAGGTTTCTTCACAATGACGAGGTTCATACTCCTCTTTCTTTTTGTTTACATGTGCACAATAAATTAAACAGTTTTCAAATCCTCTGCAATGTATTGTACTCTAATGGTCTAAATTGAGCTTTTATTATTAAAACTAACTGGATTACAATAATTTTTCATGGACCGATCCATATAGATAGATTATGCTTGTTGACACAGGCTTGATATTATTCAAAAATCATATCCTTTCAAGTCTATTCTTATTTTAAACGAATAAAGAATATCCCGTTAATCTGTAATATATCCTCCTACGGTGTAAATGATATGCTACAGGATTCTTAGAAGCCATAGATAATAATTATAGGAAACTGAACCTACCGCCACCTTGTCGACAACTTGGTCAGAGAAAACGGTCAGATTATCAAGGGAAATTACAAAATACTCGGATGAACTCAATTGTTACTCAACTTGCATCGTGATCATACCAGTACTATCTGCTGCATGTTCACTTATTTCCCTTTCAACAAGCCCAGGCGTTTAGCCGCAGTGTAAAGCCAAATAGAACTGTCGATGTGCACTTAATTGCGTTGCTACCCGAACCATCAGTTTAGTTCTTACTAATGGTGCGCAAAAATTTTACGTTCCTGCTTTTATTTTGTTGTTTATCTTATCATTTGAAAGTCGAAACAGAAATTTTACAGCATTAAAATCACTTATTCGATGATAACTGTTCTGACTTTGCCGTCTTGAACTCCTATATTAAGAACAGCATATGCATGTGACGAAGCCAATCCTGTACCTCGCACCTGATTTCTTTACCATATAAATTATTGTTAAGTTTTCTTATCGTAATTGTGACGCTTATTTCAATCATAATATAACTAGTAAGCATAATCACCTTTTTTTATTTATAAAGCATATTTAACCATAATATATTAATTAGCTTTTTTAATTTTGTAGCAGGAAATTGTGTGAAAATCTCCTGTCAATTGAATGTCATGCATGTTCTTTCTGTGCCTCCATAAATCAAGAGCAACAACATCAGATAATGAATTCTATCCCTCCAAGTTTAACGCATTCTGGTCAACAGATTTAAGACTGTTTAATTTTACGATATTTTATTGCAAATTTAATGTAGAATCTGCTTGATCGGAATCGGTGGCAAGGAGAAATCCACGCACGACGGCAAGCGTCCCATTAATTGGCATTTGCCACCTGCCACGCTTAACTCGTTGAGACAATGGGAGATGAGTGCTGCTGCATTAGTAAGCTGCTACATTTCTTTATTACGATGTACTGCCTTATTCAGCTGTATTTATTCATTGTAATGTCTTGATTTATTCATACAGGTTACTATTACATTAATTCACTATTCAACTATCAAGATCAACTACAGTCAGCCGTATTAATCATCTGTTAATATTTTTTTGAAACGTTTCTTAGTTTCTTTTCGTGTTTAGATTGTAAGATTTCGTGATTTATGCATTGAGTGATGTTCACTATTTATGAATATCGTTTTTTCTCGGTAAGGTCGCTATTTGCCATTTAACGAAGGCCAAGAAATATAATATATTTGTGAATTAATCGCCCTGATGGTATTCGAACCAGTAAAAGAGATCATTATAATCATCACTTGATTAAAAGTGTCAAAAGTAGTTTTCACCCTATTGATGTTTATTAGCGTTATATGTTTTTGTTAAATGATTGTTTGTTGCCGTTGCTTATTTCAAATAAGACCTTCATCAAAGACTAACTGCACTTTGAAAACAAATATTAGTTCAATTGCACGTATTTTTCGTGCCCGTCAGGGTCACAATTAAGTAGCTACATTTAAGCTGTCAGTAGAGTCCACGATTAAATATTATTCTTTATAAACGTCTTAATTAAAGTGATTGTACGTTCCATTCATAATTCGTGCATTCAAAATAGGGATATTGCTGACTTGTGGGCATTATACTTCATCCGATAGGTGCTCGGCCTACGTTTCAGCGATATTGATGGAATATAATATTGTTTTATTTGTTTGTCATTCAATGCTGCGTTATTTCAGATTATGTAAGTAACTTTCTTTTAGTTTCCTTAATTCAGGGGAAGTTTTGTTCATTGTCAATTGCACTCTTACACTAACGCACATTTATTTACAATATTCATCTATTTTGTATCATTGTACATGTTCAACTTACATCATTATATTAGATTAACATTTATCTCTCTAGGACGTGAGACTATATTATTCTAAACTAAACCGAGTATCGAGATAAACTTTTACGCTATTCGATCGTAGACCTGAAACTATTGCTCAGGCACACACGACCGTAAAATGTGAACTGTTTAGTTAAGATTTTCCACGTATTGCTAATGTTTGTGTGCTCCGAATTCGGAAAGTAACCTAAACTATTTTGACACCTAGTTTTTATCAAAATTAACGTACATGAATGCTAAAAACACCTCGAAATAAATTAAACGAAGCTCGCAAAAATTTATAGCAATGCAGGTTTCATAGAAAGGATTTTTCAACAGGAATGAGTTCATTGACGATTCATGGCCGTTATTTGTGTGTTTTGCACGCCTGCATCACCATGATATTTTTGCTGTTTCATAGGCAAGTAAAAACTTTTACTTGAAGTTCTGATCCTATTGCCCGTAAATGGATAAAATTCATATACCTTTCTTGAGCGTTGCAACCACCTGTTTGATCTTGTGCCTATCGAATGGCAGTCTCATTGAAATGAACGCAAATCGATTTACCGGTTCTTGTGACGAAAAATTCGCTGTAAATTGCTTCATGAATCTAAAGCAGAGGTCCTCAATCTTTTCTCGCCTGAGGTGAA